TGTCAGACAAAGCTTCAGACTTTTTACCTCCAAGGAGCAGCCTGGTTTAACCCTCTCCAGGATGAACTTGTTAGTTTTCTTAGCAATTCATGTATCTTCAATACTCTTCTCCAGCACCACAGCTCAAAGGCATAAATTTTTCTTCTTTCTTCCATAATTTGAAACTTCTTCAGTATTTGTTCATGTGACTCCATGTCAATATATTTCTTTTGCCTTTCTATCTTTGGGGTATTTATTGAGTATGAAATTTGGTTTTTTAAAAAATATCTTAATGTTTGATCTTGCTTTCTTCTTTCTTGACATTATGTCAAGTTCTAAGTATAGCTGAGGCAGTTTCTGTTGTGTCTTCATAGGTTGTTTTCAGTTCCTTATCTTTATGATATTAATGATAAGTTGTAGATTTTAAATGTTGCCCTGATTCCGTTTCCCAGTGGCAAAAATCCCTCATTGTTTGTCTATGGGTGGTTCTTTTCCCATTTTCTGTGCTAAACTTGTCATCTAGTTGTCCTTTGTGGGTCAGGAAGTTGAAGTTTCTCTTTTTACCCTGTTGTGGTAGGTCTGCTTCCATGTAGTTTCCATGTAGTTTGATAGGAGGAGCTATTTTCCCCAAGAGTAGACAAAATCCCAGCAGTGCTGCTTGAGATATTTTGCTTAGGGAAAAGGCCCTGAGAAGTGGTGGGTTTCCAAAAGTCCATCCCCCAATTCTCAGTTGGTACTTTAAAAAAAAATATATATATATATATATTCCAAAATAACTTGCCTCTGGAAAACCTAGGAACCTGGAGAAAGGACAAAAGTTATACAAGTGTCCAGGTCTTTCATTCATAGGGTTGCTATGAATCACCTATGACTCGATGGCACTTAACAACAACAGCAGCAAAGAGAGAGATAAGATGGCCTAGTGGACAGAATGTGATGCTACCAAGCCAAAGGTGGATGACTCTAATCTGTGGCCCTCAGGCCTATCTTTAATTGTTTTTGGTAAAACTTTCTTCTAACTTGTGGTTGCTGTGCAGCTGAACACTGTGACACTGATGTGTCACATACGAGAATGGTTACCCATGGTGGACAGTGTTTGGTGGAGTTCCTCGATTAAAACAAGGTTGGAAGCAGGAGTGGCATCCACTTCTGAAATAGCTTGCCTCTGCAAACCCTAGGAACCTGGAGAAAGGATGAAAGTTATAGAGGTGTCCAAGACTTTCAATCGTAGGGTTGCTATGAGTCGCCTACGACTCGACGGCACTTAACAACAACAATATTTTGGAAGTAGAGTGGCATCCTCTTCTTAAATAATAAGCCTCCAGAAACCCTTTGAACTTTGATAAATGTCGATAGTTGTAGAGGGGCTTCAAGCCTTTTGTTCATAGGGTCACTGTGAGTTGTGCTCCACTCAAAGGCAATCAACAACAACTATACACACACACACACATGAAATACCTTTTTTTTGTGATTTTGCATTCCTCTTTAAAAAAAATAATTCCTTGTTGCACAATTTCCTTCCTCCCTCCCACCCCAGTTCACTTTGTTATGCACCTCTTATTCTGGATTGTTATCATGCAAATCATGGCTAATCATACATTCCTTTTAACAATTCTTTCTTACATTTATTTTTGCAATGTAGTGTTCATTATTTATCCCTCTTTTCTTAGTTTCCCTTCAACCTCCAATGTCAGTCCTGTTTTATAACAGTGACATGCAGTATTTGTCATTTTGTGACTGAGATATTTCACTCATCATACTGTCTTCCAGGGTCACCTGTTTAGTATAATATTTTATGAGTTCCTTGTTTTTCAGTGCTGCTTAATATTTCATTGTGTGAATATACCACAGCTTCTAAATGAATTCACTTGTTGATGGGCACTTGGGTTGCTTCCATCTCTTTGCTATTGTGAACAACATAGCAACAAACATGGGTGTGCATCTATCTATTTTGGTGGAAGTTCTGGTTCTTCAGGGTATATTCCCAGTAGTGGAATTGCTGGGTCCAATGGCACATCTATTTCCAACTTTTTGAGAAAGCACCATATTGCCTTCCACAGTGGTTGCACCATTTTACATTCCCACCAACAGTGAATAAGGGTTCCAGTTTCTCCACAGCTTTGCCAATACTTGTTGTTTACTGCTCTGTTAAATTTTGCTATTCTTACCGGGATGAGATGATATCTCATAGTTGTTTTGATTTGCATCTCTCTTAGAGCTGGGGATTTTGAACCTTTCTTCATATGTTTGTTCATTATGCATCAGCATTTCGTTTCTCTTTATGATGGCTGTGTAGGAAGTTCACTGTAAGAACGGACCACATCTTGTTGACTGATTCGTCTTGTTATGAAGTTTTGGGTTATCTCCTCCTATTTCACGATCATGAATAGTGTTGCAATGACCAGTGCACTCATCTTTCTGTGCTTAATTGGGCTTTCACAACCCAGTCAAGGAAATTTTCATACAATTGTATTATGCTTGTTCTCTAAATTATATGTAGGCTCGAGGACATTCAGTAGAAATATTTGTATAGGAATTTATGAATGCTGCATAGAACATTGAAGGTTTAACTGTGGTCGTGTTATCAGGAGGGACTCATTCCAGGAGAAGGACATCATGCTCGGTAGAGAAGAGGGTCAATGAAAAAGACAGAGATCCTCAACTAGATCGATCGATATAGTGGCTGCAGCACTGGAATAATTATAGCACAGATTGTAAGGATGACATTGTTGTTGTTGTTATGTGCCGTTGAATCGCTTGCGACTCAATGTGACCCCATGCACAACAGCCCTAAACTCTGCTCTGTCCTGTGCCAGTCGCACTGTTTCTGACACTCCCATTCTGATTACCCCAGTCACTGAATCAATCCACCTCATAGAAGGCCTTCCCCTCCTGCGCTGTCCCTCCACCCTCCCAAGCATGATGTCCTTCTCCAAGGACCCGTCTCTCCTCACAAAGTATGTCTAAAGTATGTTAGACGGAGCCTCAGAATCCTTGCCTCCAAGGAGCCACCTGTTTAACCCTTTCCAGGATGAATCTGTTTGTTTTCCTAGCAGTCCATGGTACTCTCAATACTCTTCTCCAGCACCACAGCTCAAAGGCATCAATTCTCCTTCTATCCTCCTTGGTCATTGTCCAACTCTCCGATGCATAACAAGTGATTGTGAAGACCATGGTCTGTATCAGATGCACCATTGTCTCCAGAGAGACACCATTGCTCTTCAGTACTTTGGAGAGGTCCCTAACAGCAGACTTTCCCATGCAATATGCCTTTTAATTTCCTGGCTACTGGTGCCAAGAATGTTGACTGTGGAGCCAAGCAAACTAAAGCTTTGAACCATCTCAATCTCTTCACCATCCATCCTGATGCTGCCAACTGGCCCAGAATCTTTGTCTTCTTGACATTGAACCTCAATCCATATTGGAGGCTGGGAACAGAAAATGTTTTTCTCTATTGAAATTGGGAAACTATGTGTTTGACATGAAGATACATGGCATGGAGAGCTGGCTTAATAGCATTTAACAATAACAACAGCAGTGTAGAAGTTATAGCTAAGATTGAGAAGACATGACTTGCAATCTGAGCTCTTACAGTAAATAACTTGGGCAAGTCATGTTACCTCTTCTCTTTTTTATAAATTTTTATTTTATTATTCGTGTGTGTGCGTGTACCATCAAATCAGATCTGACTGGTACAGGAGGAGATTGTCCCTTCTTTCCTGGCAGAGCATCTGGTGGATTTGAACCGTGCTCCTCTGGGATTGCAGTGCAGCTTCTTGCCACTAGGCCACCAGAGCTCCCCTACCTCTTCTTTTTAAAAATACTGGTTTACTTACAAAGTTTGTATGTATTGACATTTCTAAACCCCTGTGGTGTGTTCTTGAACATTCTTGGGGGTTCTTGACATCTCTAAATTTTAAGGCAAAGATGGGCAAATTGTTTCTGGAAAGGAGCAGAGGGTGTGTATTTTTAGCTCAGTAGACAATACAGTCTCTGTCATGACCACTTAGTGCTGCCTTTGTAGCATGAAAGTCTCCACAGCTAATACATAAAAGAATGGACGGTGTCAAATTCTAATAAAACTTTATTAATGGATACTGACATTTTAGGGTTTTTTTGTGACTTTAAGTGTCACAAACCATTATTTTTTTATTCACTTTTCATTGTGGTCAATATTTAAGTAAGTAAACATTTGCCATTTCATTGTTCTTCACCTGTATAACTTAATGGTATTAATAACATTGATAATTTATTCAGCCCTTATCTATTCAAACATAATTTGTCATCAAATTTTTACATCACCATTAACAAATGTTCCATAGCTCCTTAGAAACAGATCTACCTCTTCCTTTCCTCTAGTCCACTTTTATTATTTTGTCTCAGGGTTGTGATTACAGTTGCCATCAAGTCAACTCTCACTCCTGGTACCAGTATTTGTGCAGAATAGAATTCCATAGAGTTTTGTAAGGCTGAGACTTTTCAAAAGAACATGACCAGGTCTGTCTTCCAAGTGCCTGTAAGTGGGCTAAAACCTCCAACCTTTATATTAATCATTGAGTACTTAACTCTTGTGCCACATATACTGTCAATCCTAAAAATTTCATGTAAATGATATTACACAATTATACTGAGTGAAATAAGTCAGTCACCAGAGGATAAAGACTATTTATCTTTCTTGAACTATTTAAAAGCTGTTAAAACCTTTGTTGAGCCGATGTGACACATCCAGGAAGACCATGGCTGCTTAAGTTATGCAGAAAATCAGTGTTTGGGCATAGTAACAGTATCAGTGCTATCTTATTTCTCAGTTGCTCTAAAACTTATATCTTATATAACTTATAACTTATATAAGTAGGCAACTTATATCTGCTCAAACAGATCAGGGCTTGTTTTACATTATCATCCTTGTGTTTTACTCCTGAGTCTCCAAACTTCAAAAATCAAGACTCACCATTTGTCCAATGAGCAGTACATCTAATTTACCAGCAAGATCACAGAAGGGGAAAATACAAAAGAATGAACTAGTACTGAGAAAAAAAAGCAATGGTATTATTCCTTAAGCTCAAAGAGGGAAAAAAAAGTGGGGGTGGGGATGGGGAGGAGTTTGACTCTACAGCAAATAGGGTAAATGTGTAAGAAGTATGAGAATATAAAATATTCCATAAAGCTTTCCAAACCATATATATAGTCCAAATAGAATCTCTGTTAGCATTTTCAATTTATGATGAAAGAGTTTCCCAAGGGCCATTTTAAGGTGCTGTTTGCTTCTTTTTCTTCCTCTCTATAACCAGGAGAAGCAGATGATGGACTTGAAGTAATAGTTTAATTTTCAACTGATTTTTCCCAGCTGATCTTGCTACTTTTCCCAGAAAAATCCATTGTCTTTTCCATCTTCATTTTGAAAAGTAATAGGAGAGAGAGCAAATATGTTAGTGTTGCACCCATTGTATATGAGTAAGTGGTTATTTATTGGGTACTTCGCAGATTCAAAGCCAGAAAAACATGTAAATTATTTATTGCATTAAAAATTCATCTAGTTTCAAGTCATATTGCTGTTTGGATGAAATTCACACATCTCTGTATCTCTATCTCTATCTCTATCTCTATCTCAGTGACCAGATGAGTTGTGGGATGATATCATCTATGAGATATGATATATCGTCCCTTCACAGATAACATAGAATATCATCTATATCATCATTACAAAAATAGAGGAGAAAGACAATAACAAAATGGATGTAAGAAGAGACTCTGAAAATTGCATTTGAGCATCACGAAGCCAAAACAAAGAGGAGAGATGCTAAAGTAAAAGAGCTAAACAAAAAATTTCAAAGGGCAGTTTGAGAAGACAAAGTATTAGAATGTGCAGAGCTGACATCAGAGAATAAAAGGGGAAGAATCATCAACAAATGACAAAATCTCATTATATGTACAATAAAGTAATTTGTTGCTGTTGTTGTTGTAGTTATGTGCCGTCGAGTCGTTTGCGACTCATAGCGACCCTATGTACAATAGCCCTAAACCATGCTCTATCCTGTGCCAATCTCACTGCCTCTGACACACCCATCCCAATTACCCCAGTCACTGAATCAATCCACCTCATAGAGGGTCTTCCCCTCTTGTGCTGTCCCTCTACTCTACCCAGCATGATGTCCCTCTCTAAAGACCTGTCTCTCCTTACAACATGTACAAAGTACGTCAGGCGAAGCCCCAGAATCCTTGCCTCCAAGGAGCAGCCTGGTTTAACCCTTTCTAGGATGAATCTGTTTGTTTGTTATTCAATACTCTTCTCCAGCACCACAGCTCAAAGGCGTCAATTCTCCTTCTATCCTCCCTAGTCATTGTCCAACTCTCTGATGCATAAAAGTGATTGCAAAAACCATGGCCGGTATCGGGTGCTTTACGTATTAAAAAAAAGGGAAGAACACGGTTGGCATTTTTCAAGCAGGAAGAACTGTAAGACAAATTCAGGTGGAGTTTCAATACTTAGAGATGTTATATGCAAAATTTTCAGCAATCCAGGAAACATTAAAAGAAGTTAGAGAGAATCCAATCACTATAAGCAAAAGAATTGGCTGACACGAAAATATTTCTGGAGGTACCATATGTTGTTTGCCCTTATGAGATTGTGTTAATTCATTCAGTCAGGCTCTCCAGTCTCTCCCAAGTTACACAGTATTTTTCAAAATTGTTGCTCCTGAGTGCTGCACAGTATTCCATTATGTTAATGTACAACCATTCCTCACCATTATTATAAAAATAGAAGGATAACTAGTAAAACGTGTACAGAGACTCAAGGAGGAGAAGGAGGAGTGAAGGGGTAAGGATAGGTAGGGGTGAAACCGGTGCAGTTTGGTGGGTGGATGAGGGGGCAGCAAATGGGAAGGATCCAGGTGAAAAAACAGGGTAACGATGGGCAAGGTCCAATGGTGATTGATTTTCTAAAATATAATGTATGAGAATATTTGTATGAAACACAATGTGAATGAAGAATAGTGTGAAGCACAATGTATATAAACTTTGTAAGCAAGCTAATTTTTAAAAAAAGCCAATGGTGAGGAAAGAAAAAATTCAAGTTGCATAAAAGCATTGGCAAGAATAAGGCCCAAGAATCGATGGAATGCCAATTGACATGTTTCAAATAACAGATGCAGGCCTGGATGTCCTCACCAGTCTCTTCCTAACCAGGACATTTAAAAGAGAGCTTCCTGGCTAACTGACTGAAAACGATCCATATTTGTTTCAGTTTCCAAGAAAGGTGATCCAATAGAATGTGAAAAATTTTGAACAATATCATTAATATTGCATGCATGCAAAGTAGTGTTGAAGAACATCCCAAAACGGCTAGAACAGTACATGACAGAGAAATGCCAGAAGTTTAGGCCAAAAGAAACCATGGCACCAGAGATGCCAGATGGATCCTGGATGAAAGCAGAGAAAACCAGAAGAATATATATTTACACTATATTGACCATGCAAAGACCTTTGACTGTTTGGCTCACAACAAATTATGGTTAACATTGAGAAGAATGAGAATGCCAGTACACTTAAATGTGCTTGTGTGAAACCTATACCTCAACCAAGAGTCTGTTCTTCGAACAGACCAAGGATATATTGCATGGTTTAAAATCAGGAAAGGTGTACATCAGGGGTGTACCCTATCTCAATACCAATCCAATCTATATGCTGACCAAATCATCCAAGAATTCTGTTAATTCTATGGCAAAGAATGTGGAATCAGGGTCAGAGGAAGGTTCATCAATAACTTGCATTATACAGATGACACAACCTTGTCTGCTGAACTGCAGAAGATCAAAGACTACAGCTTTAAATATGGATAATATCTCAATGTCAGGAAAACAATAAATTTTCACCACTGAACTGATATGTAACATCATGACAGATGGAGAGAAGATTGAAACTGTCAACGACTTCATCTTACTTGCATCTACAATCAACACACTTGGTATCAGCAGTCAAGAAATCAGGAAATGTACTGTATTGGGAAAGTCTGCATTTAGGGACCTCTCCAAATTACTGAAGAGCAACAACGTCAGTTTGAGGACTAAGGTGTACCTGATTTGAGCTGTGGTCTTTTCCATCACTTCATATGGATCAGTGAACTGAACAATGAAAGAAGATAATAAAAGAAGAATTGATGCCTTTAAGTTGTGATGTTCAAGAAGAATACTGAATATTCCTTAGATTGCCACAAGAACAAACAGGTAAGTCTTGGAGAAAGTGTAGCCAGAGTTCTCTTTGATGGTAAAGATGACAAAGCTTCGTCTCACAGAGTTTGAGCCTGTCATTATGAGAGGCTACACCCTGAAGAGCGCCGTCATGCTTGGAAAGGCAGAGAGCTGGCAAAACAGAGGAAAATCCTTCGCTAGATGGATTGACACAGTGACTATTACAATGGGCTTGAATATGTCAGAAAGGATGAATTAGCACAGACTAGGACAGGGTTAAGATCTGCTGTTCATAGGGTTGCTAGGAACTGTACTCGCCTCAAGGACACCTAACAACCACAACATCAACAACGTGTCTATTTACAGTTATATATATGTATGTATTTACAGTTAT